CGGAGACTTTTTTGGGCGTTATGGGACGTCAGAATCGAATGATCAAATCGATACTGCTACGGTTTAGTGAAACCGAATACCGAGTAGGCCGAGTAAGAGACGTATACCGATTCCGAAAACCCGCGTTTCAGAGTCCGAATACTCGTTTCCGAATCTGTGTCATTCACAAAAAAACTCACAGGACAAAAACTCACGAGAGGCGCGTGTGTCTTATTACTCAGCTACTCACAAACTCACTTGTGCAAACGCTTGCTCTGACTCAAATGGTGCCTGACTAAACTTAGTGCAAATATATTGGAGTCCAGAGAGGTCACATAAAGCTTATTCTCGATCATAACTCCGTCTAAAAAAACACGTTAAAACTGTGCAGGAGCAGGATTCCAGTCAAACAAGTGAGTTTGACGGTTTTGAGACATCATCTTTTATTGAAAAAAAAAACCTTTTTCATTTTGCTGACGCGCATGGCTACTTCGACGCGCGTGCATACCAGAAACCGGAGACTTTTTTGGGGGGCTAATGTTAAAGTTCTGAAAGTTTCTATGCTCGACGAAAAGAGTTTATCAAGTTCTTGTTTAGTCCACTTTTATTCTTGATTTGTTCATGAGGAAGATTTTGAGGTCACGAATTTCCAAGATGTTGCTGAAGAAGAAATCCATCAAATTTGAAGACTACATGGTCCAGTTCTTTCAACAAGGCTTATAGTACATGTGATGGATGCATTGTCTTGAAAGAGACGCACAATTTACTTCTGAAATATCGCATAACTAGATAATTGCTGTTTTCTTTTTTAAGACAATGGACGTGACATTTTCCATAACCATGCTATCAGTTGCAAACTTGACTTAATTAGTTGAGATGTACATGTACCTCGATTTTTCTTTTTACAATCTGCAGTTTCTTGGACGACAATAAAATAAAACTTCAGGTAGACTGGTACGCTTTGCTTTGACACACACGTGGGTCATCTGTCAATCATCAAGAAGAACGCATTCAAAGCGGAGGACCATCTTAATGCAGACAATTAATAGGCGCGTGCCTGCCACATAACTTAATTTACTCACATAAAAAAGGGTCAATGCAGCTCATCTCTGTGGCCACGCGCCAACAAGAGGTCAACAGGGTCAACCAACTTTACGACGGCCCAGATCCCCTGGTCTACATTGTTCTGCTCTCCGACATTCTTACGAGGAATTCACAGGTGTTAATCTCTTTCATGTCAAAATATATGGCTTCAACTTACTACACACAATACCCAGGGAGAAAAAAAATCAATACTTCGAGTCAATTCGACTTGAGCATACACTTGGCCAAAGAAATTGGGGTTTTTGAAGTTGAGAGTAATTAATTTCAACTTGCAAAAAAAAGAGTTAGACTTGGGGTTCTTCAGTAAAAAACCAACATTATTTTGCCCTTAAAAGGTACGGCTAGATACTAAAATTCTGGACATAAAATCCTGTAAATGAGCTTAAAATATACGATTGGAAGAGAGGTATATGAGGTATATGTACACAATAATTTCCGGAAAATTGTCTGATGCTGGTTAACCCATTATTTTGGCAATTCAAATATGTACAGCTAGACACTGAAATGTGAACATAACATCTTGTAAATAAAGAACCAATGTCACACCATGGGTCTGTTTTTCCCATGGAGGACAGTAGTAGATATATTTGACAAATTAGCAGGACAGAAAATCAAACTCCGGACGGCAAAATGTGTATGATCAAGACAAAATACTATTTAATTACGACAAATAAATATATTAAACAAACGGAAATTTACTATGTACAAATTATTTCAATTGAATTATGCCACTATATGAATTACTTATACTTTGAGTGACGGATACTCAACTATATCATGGCATTATAAGGATCCTGTATTATGTGTTATACGGCCGTTTCCAATACCCCAAAACAAATGCAATCACCCCCCCCCCCCTAAACAGTCACTGTTCAAAACCTTTTGAAGGACTTGCTGTGTTCAAAGCTCACACTTGTGACACGGGTGGTCGATTTGGAGCACCAGTCACACACACAACATCCCTCCGGCGCTTTGACGATCCCACTAAGGCGGATGAACTCCGGGCTTGGGGAACTTGGGTGACCTCTCCGGGCCTTGGAATCTGGCTCGATGCCTGACGGTCCACACAGGACTCGGTTCCGAATATTCCTCCTGACTCTCTCGGTAGACCGTGAGCTAGTCTTGGGAGTTGGCTAACTGTTGTTCACACAGAACAAGCTATCTGGTTCACCAAGAACCTAGGAATTCTCTATTCCCACAGGGAAAAGCCCTTTAAAAAAAGGTTAAACATAATTCACAGTGAAAATTAGAGTGCCTACCGACTTATGATCAAATTTACATTCGCTCCATGCTCAAGCTAAATTTCTGGAATGAACATGGCATTAAAAATCTTCAAAAATTCTTACAATTTATCCTACTTCATCAACTATATTAATTTTAATGAAAATAAACTTGATTACAAAAGGCAATTCTATACATCAATCTCTAAAGATTAACTTCAAAATGCACCATTTCTGGACTATCACAATTCTCCCAAAATATTCATAATTAATTACATTAATAAACACAATGATAAATACAAAAATTGAAACATTATTTAAAAATATAAATCACACTTTGTGACATCAGCCCCTCACTTAAGATGATACACACCATTTATCATCATCTCTGGAAATCAGTAATTTACAGAACTTGTCACATACTAGTGTCTACATGTATTTACATCGTACATCTACTGAGGAAGTCTGGTCCTACATTTTGTGAACCTTTAATCGCTCTAATGATGAACCTATATGGTTGCAGGCTGAGGGCCCACCTCATCACTCGATTGTTGTTAACCTTGGCTTTGGTTAAGTATGACAATGGGTGATGGTCTGTCTCCAATACGAACTCTCTGCCATACAAATATATGTGAAATTTGGAGATCGCCCAAACTAGCGCGAGACATTCTCGTTCAATTGTCGAGTACGCGCGTTCACGCGGCAGCAGCTTCCTACTCGCATAGCTTACTGGGTGCTTTGTACCATCGCGCTCTTGCATCAGAACTGCGCCTATTCCTACCTCAGAGGCGTCTGCCGCAAGAATATAGGGCTTATCAGGATCTGGAAGACTCAGAATAGGCTCTGATTCTAGACGGGATTTCAGAGTTCTGAATGATTGCTCTTGCGATGCTCCCCATTGCACACTATTTGGTGCACCTTTTCTGGTCAGGTCAGTCAACGGGGCAGCAATGGCGGCAAAATTAGGCACAAATTTCCGGTAGTAACTCAGCAGTCCTATGAATGATCTTACTTCTTTCTTACTCACCGGTCTCGCAGCATGAACTATCTGTTCCACCTTGCTTGGTCGTGGTCTCAGCACTCCATTTCCAACGATGTGACCTAGAAATTCAAGAGATTTGCAACCAATGTAACACTTTGAAGGTCGTGCCGTCAACCCTGCTGTTTGCAATCTTTGCAGAACTTCCTTCAGTACCTGTAGATGTCTAACCCATGTATCTGTATAAATCAAAACATCATCAATATAATTAATGACATGTTCTTGTCCTTGTAACAGCTTTCTCATCATCCTAGAGAAGAGCGCTGGAGCGTTCACCATGCCAAATGGCAACACTCTAAACTGGTACAACCCTTCAGCTGTCACAAATGCTGTCTTCTTCTTGTCCTCTTCTGCAATCGGCACCTGCCAATACCCTTTAGATAAATCTAATTTGGAAAAGAACTTTCCTGTCCCAAGCCTTGCCATCAGATCATCAGCATTCGGGATGGGCTCTGGATCGAAAACAGTGATGTTGTTTATCTTCCTGTAATCAATGCAAAAACGATTAGAGCCATCGGGTTTTCTTACCAAAACTATAGGAGAAGCGTAAGGTGACTCCGAATGTTCAATGACTCCTAATTTCAGCATTGAGTCGATCTCTTTCTTGATGACTTCACGCGTAGCTTGGGGTGTGGGGTAGGGTTTTGACCTTATGGGAACATCTGTGGTAAGATGAACTGTATGTTCAATAATGTAAGTCTTACCTGGCAAATCAGTGAGAACCGGTGTGTACCGCTGCAGAATTTCATCAACATCGGCTCTTTCAGCATCGTCCAAGTTTTCCCCAAGATGAACATCACTCATGTCTTCCTTTGCCTCTACCGGCGGGAGAACAACTTCATCCAACCCATCTTCCTCATCTGGATCCTCCACAACAAACCCAACTCCTGCCATAGCCAAAACCTCAACCTGGGTGACTTCATCAGACCGACCTCGTTCCACGTACAGCTTTAAGAGGTTGGCATGGTAGGTCCGTTCTTTGTCTCTTACCTGAATCACGTAGTCATGCTTCGCAACTTGTCTCACTACCGGGTATGGACCTGTCCACTGCATTAACAGCTTGTTGTGATCAGTTGGTCTCAAAATAAGAACCCTGTCTCCTGCTCTAAATCGCCTATCACGGGCCTTGGCATTGTAGTACCTCCGGTACCGTTTTGACGCCTTCGCCAATTCATCTCTTGCCAGCTCACAGGTAGACTGCAATCTCTCACGCAGATCAACAACATACTGGTAGGTAGTTTTGATGTCTTCATCTACCGTGTCCTCTGACCAGATATCCTGTAGGATGGAGAGAGGTCCCTTCACCGACCTGCCGTACATCAGCTCAAAGGGAGAAAATCCTAAGCTTTCTTGTGGAGCCTCTCGGTACGCAAACAACAAAGCCGGAAGGAACCTGTCCCAATCCTTTGGCCTTTCTGCACACATCCGTCGCAGCATTTTCTTCAAGGTAGCGTTAAATCGCTCAACTAAGCCATTGCAAATGGGATGATAGGGGGTCGTAGTGAGCTGCTTGATCGTCAGTAGTCTTCCCACTTCCCTCATGACCTCAGATGTAAACTGGGTTCCCATATCTGTCAGTACCTCTTGTGGAATCCCCAACCTCGAATATACCTCCAGCAAGGCTTCCGCCACTCTCTCAGACTCTATTCGAGGAAGAGCTACAGCCTCGGGTACCGCGTTGCATAATCCACCACCACCAAAATATACCTGTTACCTCGGTCGGTTATTGGATGTATGGGTCCCACCAGATCAACGGCTATACGCTTGAAGGGGGTATCAATCAGTGGCATTTCTCCCAGTGACACCTTTCCAACTCGTCCTTTTGACACTGTCCGCTGGCAGATGTCGCATGACCTGCAGTACCTCTGCACATCACCAGAAACTCCTGGCCAGTAAAAACTCAAACACAATTTATCAGTCATCTTCTTGATACCTAGATGACCAGCTAGAGGGGAGTCATGAGCAAGCTTCAACACCTTACCCCGATACTTCTGAGGAACTACCAGCTGCTTTATGATTCTACCTCTGTCGACTTTAGGGGACTGAAACTGTCTGTACAACAGACCTCTATGCTTGACATATTTCGAAACATTAGCCTTACCAGACACACGAGGTGGGTCTTGGTTGTCAACATGCTTCCACAACTTAGCCAGAGTAGGGTCCTGTTGTTGCGCCAACAAAATCTCCTCTTTTGACACCGTCTCCCCATCAGTCTCCATCACCACTAGTGGTTGGAAAGCCCTCTCCTTCCGAACCTTCATACCACGAGTTTCCACTGCACCACCTGGTTTCTCATCTGTCACGGTCGTTGCTGTCTCCACTGTCACTCTCTGAGATGAAGGAGGCTGCCAAGACTCATCTGGACTTTGTGGATCTCTTGCTCCTGTCACATTTCCAATAATCAAATCATACAATGGATTATCCATGCATAAAGCTTCAACGTGCCCAATGAAAAAGGGAGTATTCACATCTATCTGGGCCACTGGCACTCGCCGGACTGTTCCATCTAAAAGGATACATGGTTGAATGCGACCTGTCAAGTTGTCATCACGAACTATGTCTCTACGGACAACAACTGTGCTACACCCTGTATCTCTGAGGACTGTTACAGGTAACTCACCAACTACTCCTTTCCTCACCGGCATGGATGGCTCAATGGTACATGCAGCACTGATGAATGGAAATGCCTTGTCACTAGCCTGCGGGACATCAGTCTTCTCAACTTCCTCCGTCGGCGTCACTGTCATGTTCAGGCAGGCAGCTCCAGTCTGGGATGGTTCCTTACTTTCAGTTTCCACCTTCAAACCTGCAACTTTGTTGGACTTACTGGACGGTTGGGCATTAGCTGGATTGGTTCTACAGTACTGAGCAATATGGCCAGTTTTACCACATTTGTAACATCGTCTGTTTGCATGTGAATTTTCATTTGGACTGGGTGAACTTTTGTGACTGTTACTCTTACCTGTGGTCTGGGATTGGTACCTAGGTGGGTGCGTTTTTGGTCTCACCACATCTGGTTTCTTCTTCAACCAATCATGAGCCTCCATGTAGTGGTCAGCGATGTCCGTCAGTTCGGCAAGGTCCTTCGGCTTCCGTTCTTTCACGTGGAGTGCGAGGTCCTTGTCTGCCACTTCCAGGATCTGTTCAGAAACAAAAAGGTCTACAACCTTATCGTAAGATTTCTCTATTTTCCCTAACTCTACCCACCTTTCCACGTATCCTTTCAACCGGTCAGCAAACTGAGCGTATCGCTCACCAGTTTCCCGCTTTGATGTTCTAAACTTCAGCCTAAATCCTTCCTCTGTTAGTCTGAAACGATTCAAAAGAGCAGTTTTAATCTCTGAGAAATCCTTAGCCTTTTCTACTGGTAACCTTGAAAACACTTCCAAAGCTTTACCTTTGAGAAGGGCACTAAGTGACAGGCCCCACTCTTCTTCAGGCCAACTGTTCAGTTCCGCAAACTGTTCAAATCGTCGGAGGTAGGCATCCATGTCATCTGTTTGATCATTAAAACAAGGAAGTTTGGGGGTTTTCGCCGAGCTTCGAGGGTACCTAAATGTACTTGAAGCTCCAGGGTCGGAACTAACAGGGGCATGTTCCTGCACTATTCGCAATTCGTATGCCTTCATTTCACGTTCATGTTCTCTTACCTGTTGCTTCTCCTCCCGTTCAATTCTGCGTTCTTCCCTCTCGTAATGTTCCCGCTGTTTCTTTTCCTGTAATTGCTCTCGCTCACGAGCAAACTGGACCAGCTCCATTCCTTCAAGACCTATCTCCTGTCCTATCTTGATAAAACTCTCAAACTCCATGTTAATTAGCAACAGAGTGATCAACAGTACAGAACTACACAAGTTATGCATATGGGACATTGAACACTCTATACTTCGCCTGCGTGACACTTTCCGTATTTGCGCAGCGTCCGCGATTCGACCCTATCGAAATGATCACCAACGCAACTCTGAACCGATCAACAATTTCGAGTGAGAATGTCTACAAGCCACAACAAAATCAAATCACTTCTGTCAATAGGAACAATTGTCCCCTTTGGTTGAATAGATCAACAATTTAGCGCAATCACACTGTGTAAAGGAAGCAAAGGGGCGAGGACATAGGTTTCTATATCAGAGACAGACCCTATCAATAGCCCATGAACAGAGTCTCTATACTCCACTTGAACCTACGCAACTTATTTACAACTAGTGTATTTCCCTGGTTAAATTTTACTGTCTACTAATTTCAGTCAACACATCCACTACGACAAAATTCGCATTCGATTCCCGGACAAGCCCCCATTTGTCACACCATGGGTCTGTTTTTCCCATGGAGGACAGTAGTAGATATATTTGACAAATTAGCAGGACAGAAAATCAAACTCCGGACGGCAAAATGTGTATGATCAAGACAAAATACTATTTAATTACGACAAATAAATATATTAAACAAACGGAAATTTACTATGTACAAATTATTTCAATTGAATTATGCCACTATATGAATTACTTATACTTTGAGTGACGGATACTCAACTATATCATGGCATTATAAGGATCCTGTATTATGTGTTATACGGCCGTTTCCAATACCCCAAAACAAATGCAATCACCCCCCCCCCCCCTAAACAGTCACTGTTCAAAACCTTTTGAAGGACTTGCTGTGTTCAAAGCTCACACTTGTGACACGGGTGGTCGATTTGGAGCACCAGTCACACACACAACATCCCTCCGGCGCTTTGACGATCCCACTAAGGCGGATGAACTCCGGGCTTGGGGAACTTGGGTGACCTCTCCGGGCCTTGGAATCTGGCTCGATGCCTGACGGTCCACACAGGACTCGGTTCCGAATATTCCTCCTGACTCTCTCGGTAGACCGTGAGCTAGTCTTGGGAGTTGGCTAACTGTTGTTCACACAGAACAAGCTATCTGGTTCACCAAGAACCTAGGAATTCTCTATTCCCACAGGGAAAAGCCCTTTAAAAAAAGGTTAAACATAATTCACAGTGAAAATTAGAGTGCCTACCGACTTATGATCAAATTTACATTCGCTCCATGCTCAAGCTAAATTTCTGGAATGAACATGGCATTAAAAATCTTCAAAAATTCTTACAATTTATCCTACTTCATCAACTATATTAATTTTAATGAAAATAAACTTGATTACAAAAGGCAATTCTATACATCAATCTCTAAAGATTAACTTCAAAATGCACCATTTCTGGACTATCACAATTCTCCCAAAATATTCATAATTAATTACATTAATAAACACAATGATAAATACAAAAATTGAAACATTATTTAAAAATATAAATCACACTTTGTGACAACCAACAAATTGCAAATGGAAGAGAAAGTAAGAAGATGATACACAATAACTTCCTGCAAATTTGTGACACTGTTTAAAACCCATTATTTTGATACAGCTAGATATTGAAAATGTATAGAACATATACCCAAAAAGAAAAATACAAATGAAAGCGAAGGTATGAAGGTGGTAATTCCCAGCAAATTTCTGATACTGTTTAAAACCCATTATTTTGATACAGCTAGATACTGAAAATGTAGAACATATTCCAAAAAAGAAAAATACAAATGCAAGTGAAGTTATGAAGATGGTACAAACTAAATTCCTGCAAATTTGGGATACTGTTTAACACCCATTATTTTGGCAATTCAAAAATGTACAGCTAGATACTGAAATGTGGACATGACATCTAATAAATGCACAACCAACAAATTACAAATGGTAGAGAAGGAAAGAAGATACACAATGATTTCCTGCAAATTTGTGACACTTTTGAGGCCTATAACCCATTATTTTGATACAGATAGATACACTGAAAATGTATGGAACATATTCCAAAAATTACCAATGGAAGAGAGGGAATAAAGAGCACACTCAATAATAACCTGCAAATTTTTGATACTGTTGTCAAATTTTGTATTTTGCCAAAAAAATATAGTTCTGCTTCCGAATACATGGCATTTGAAAATAGGGTAGGTAGGTAGGGAATTTTTTTTTTGTCAATTTTTTTTTTGTGATGATCATAATTATGGAGGCGTCTGCGGGTAGTCAAGGGTAAAAGACCTGTAGAAATTGATGGTTTTGGGTGTTTTTTCTCATTTTTTGAATAAAAAAATTAGGGTAGGGGCTGTCAGAACAGGGTAGGTAGGGAAACCGGAAGCAGAACTATTTCTTTGTTGCCTTACCTCAAAATATTGTTTTTGACTTACCAGTGTTGAGTCTACCTTTTCCTTGAAGCACAAACCTTTATTATCGCTCAGATCATTCGACAAAATTCCACAGAACAATTCCACAGAACAATTCCACAGAACAATTCCTCATATATTTCACAAAATAAATCCAAGAATCTTGTGTTCCAAGTTTTTCAGAACTTCAGTTCATAGTTCAGTTCAAGTGTTCATAAAAGTTTCTCGGAAATTAAAATAGTTAAGTTCTTCAAGTTTCGTAGCTTTTGAGTTCATGTGAGTTTGTGGCAGGCAAAACAAAGGTATATTTAAAGTATATGACAGTTTGGTTCATTTTTAATAAAGCTCGCCGAAAGTTCAGTTGAAGTTTTGTGTTCCACTATAAAGTGTCACTCACAGCAATTCCACGAACAGAAGTCTGAGAACTGGGTGGGAAGGCATAATACTTGGAGCTTGGAGTGATGTGAATTCCCAAGGGAAAGAAGCAGCGTTGAAACCCATGCAGCCGTGGTTCATTTTCCAAAAAAATGTTCCACAAAAGTTCAGTCAAAGTTTCTGTTCCAGATAAAAATTCACTTACTACAATTCCATGGACAACAGTCGGAGAACAGAGTTGTAGAACTCGAAGTGAAGTGGAGAGCGGCAAATTCCAGAAGGCAGCAGCAGCATGGAAACCCGTCCCGAGCTGGGGCCGAGATCCGGGGTTTGGCCCGTCCGCCGGCAGCATCAGTGACCCGTCTGCAAACCTGCCTCTCTCGGCGACACGTTTCGAAACGCGACTCTTCCAAACAAATGTCTCACAGAAGACCACGAATCAATGACCAATTATTACCGACATTGTTCCCGTCGAGTCCGTTGCGTTGTACTTTTGTACAATCATAAAATCCGCTGGAATATGTTATTTGTTTGTTGTGCACAAAAGGCGAGTGTCAGACATTCCGAATTACACGAGGACTACTCAATACAGCTCGCTCGCGCTTAATCACTAAAAGCAGCCGACAATAGGCATCGTGTGTATTTTAAACGAAAATGTCGAGACTTCAAAATGTGTTCATACGCCGCCGGATTTTCTCTCGCCAGCAAACAAACTGCTATTAGTTGGAAGTGGAACAACAACAATTCTGATTGGCCGGTTGGGACCGTACGTGTTTACATGGGATTTTCCAAACCACGGTTTCTTTTCCGGCTTCGGCTTCATCGATCACTGGCTTAATCGATTGCTGGAATCATTCAGAAGCCTTCAATGTCCAGACGAAGTCGAATGTTATTGTTATAATAAATGTTGCCTCGTAATGATAGTATTTTGATGAAGATAGGATTTGATGATGGGGGCTGGACACCATCTTCCCATGGGGCGCTGTTCAAAACCTATATCATGGTTAATGTTAGACAATAACTACGGTTATTTGCTTTCCACGGACGTTAAAAAACAGCCACTCGCGAAAAAAAGGGTTTAGGTGGGCAATACGCACAAAACCGAGGAAAAAGGGACATTATGTTCTTCCAGCTAATCATGGTAACTCATACGGCTGTGCTTTTCTCCGGATGCCAAATTTCAAGTCGGGGAGGGGGGGGGCGACTGGGAGGGGCACGAACTTTTTATGGTGGGCGTCCCCCAAATTGAAGGCATGGGCGTCGCGAGGGGGGGGGGGGCAAGGGGGTCCCCCGGAAAAGAAAACGTAGACAAAAGAAAAAGAAATGAAAAAAGAAGACGAGGGGTGAATCACATCACTCTTAATTTAATGTATATTGAACAAAATGGACCGTTTTTAACAAAGCATTGAGTGATATTTAGCACCCCATCTCGATTTCCACGGCCTGCACTTTCTCCCTTTGCTTCTGGTGAGTGCTTTGCCCCCCCCCCCCGAAAAAAATCCGAGCAACTCCCATAGTTGATGGCCTAAGAACTCCTGATACTGAACCGAAGTCTGAAACAAGGTTTCGAAAAGCCCAAATGAAAAGCCCATAATAGCCCAACCCGGAGACGCTACATCTTTATTGACGGGGGCCCCCTTCAATGGCGAAATGATTTGTGCTAGCTATTGTTCAGAGAATCCATCACGGGGCAGTTGCTTTGTACAATAGCATGCACAATGGCATCTCCATTGAGTGAGTGTAGACTTATCACGTGCATTGAAAGATGCGTATCAAGGGTCTGGGTCAGGGAGAGGGGGGATATGGGTACTTTTTTCTAGAAAAAGACCCCCCATTTTTTTTTTTGTTAATCGTTCTCAGTTTAGAAAAATAAATTGACACTATCGAGCGTAATGCGGTCCTTTGCTGGGTAGGTTGGGGTAGATATCGGTGGGGGGGGATAGCAAGCTTGTGCAACTATTTTTCTGCATCATTTTCCTATTGTTTTTTTTTCCGAGGCCGGGGGGTAGGACCCCTTACCCCCCACCCCGTAGATCCGCCACTGTTTTGTGCTCTTCAACTCATTTCCCTTGAACAGATGATAGACCAAAAAGATATTAAAAATTTAAGGCTTGCCGAAGAACTTCTCAGGCAAATTTCCACAGACAGAAAATAAATTTGGACTAATTATCAGCCAATCAGACCGACATGAAGACTTTGACTAACAGATCGAAATCCACACTCGGGTATAGAGATGAGTTGTATTTCATCAAGAAACTATACTTCTGAAACGTTTGTAATTCATTAAACACTCATATATTTATAGCAACCGTTCATTACAGTGTCTTCCATTTTGTGTTCTTAATTGTTGTTATCATGACAGCTAAGTTAAATGTTATGTACAATAATGTCATCTTTAACAAAACAAGAATGAGGAAGAAACAAAGTTTAATATTATTCATTCAAACTATTCCTACACAATTATGGAATAATGTTTTACAAAAACATAAAGCGATTTACTAAGTGAAAAGGAGCATACAATCTTTTAGTTGGATCTCATTTGATGAGGTTCATGCATTGTTGTAAGACATACACAAAGAGTTAAAGTTCTTTGAAAACATTGGAATTGTCACGATGAATGTCACGTCTGCTTAATAAACAACATGACACTGTACTTGGTATAAATCCTTGTCAAGTCATATCTGATTCAAAAAATTTATGAGCAACACTTTTACCCCATAATTATTGCAAGTTAAAATATATTCCTCATCACAAGTCTCAAGTTCGCAAAATGAAATGAATCAATAACTAGTGTATTTCTAAGTGAGCCCTGCATTACTAGGGTTTTTTTTTTTTTGGTTTTACAAAGTATAACAGACAATTGGTAAATAATGATTGAAATCAGCAAAAACTATCCAATTATAGATTGGAATAATTATATTATCACCATTTATTAAAAGGTTTTCGAAGCCTTGCCGATTTGTCAGCTTGTTGGCCTATTCATCCGCCATCCAAAGTTATAGTTTGTCAAAATCCATCCATG